TCGTGCCTCCTGGTACGGAAGGAGTACATGTTTGCAGGAGTAAAATTCTATTTTTCGTGAGTATTTTCGTGTTCTTTATGTCGTACGTGATTTGCTTATTCTCAATCGATCCTTAAGCTTATACACTTATTTCGCAGTTGCAAATAACGAGATTAGGTATATCATATCAAGGAGAGACGCCGTCCTTGGTGTTGCCGTTCGTACATGATGTCAATACGAATATAACACAGCTAGCGGATAGAAGAGATCTTACTCCACCTCCCTCAGCGATGGCGGCAGCGTCTATGCAGCTGAAGAGATTCGCCGAGTACGGGGCGAATCAGTCAGAGTGCTCACTGTTCCCCGCTGTACGCGATCTTTTAGCTAATTTCACATTACCGTCGGAACCGCCAGTTATATCACAGGTGATAATCTTAATTAGAAGAAACTTGAGTATGTTAATCATAAGGCTATTAGATTATGCCAGAAATGAGAATCAGATGACTTTTTTTCCATTTTCTCTTTTATACGATATCGAAATTAATTTCATCATGTTGATGTCATAATTAATCTATTCTTTTTCTCTGAGAAGAAAGGAGGAAAAGTAAATGATTCAGTAAGAAATTTTGCTGAAAAGAACTAAAATATATACAGTGTGAGACTAATAACAATATTCTATTGTATTTCTTCTTTCATTTCTTAAAAGCCATTTTACAATCATAAATTCATGGAAAATATAGCTCCCAATATAAATCATATATGAATGATATAGTTAAATTTAAATTTAATAATTTAAGATACCAACGAATGTCGCCAACAAAACATTTTTATAAAAATTTAATAGAATATCAAATTACATCTGTTTATAATAGGTCGTGCCGTCCCCGGCAGGAACTCAAGTAGCTTCCGCACAGCAAATTCAGAACACAGCGATGCAAATGCACTCGCCCATGGCTGCTGGTCAAGGTCCGCCACAGGGACCAGGACCATACGGAATCCAAGGCATGCAACCGATGGGCATGATGGGCGGCCCGCCTCAATAGGACTTGCTTTACTCTCCTAATCCCCTGTGTCTATCAAGTCATCCTACGTGGATGAATTAAAAATGTAAACTTTGACTCAAAGAATTCCGGAGAAAGAATAATCCGGCTGCGCTATTCTAACATGAGAAGATTTACATTTTATGGGGCATCTTAGGAGAGAGAAAACTATGTCGTGTTCACTGCGTTTTTAATCCAACAAAGGTGAAAAATGGACAGCTGATAAAAATAGGATTATGAAGAGAAATTATGAATGTACATGTTTCTTGTGACAATCTCGCATCTAAGTTTGGTATTGTAGATATACGCTTTATACTTTAGTATTACAATCAGCAAATTCTATTATTAAAGCAAATATGCTAAAATGAATGTATATAAATTGTATAAGAATTAGGTTACAAGAATTATATTGGAATCATTTAACGCGTAATTTAATTTTAATTAAAAAAAATTACTGCAACTGTACTTGTCAACAACAGTTATTACATTCTTCATGTAAAATGATATTCTTTATTGAAAATTACCATAATAAGCATAATCAAAAATACGAATCTATTATCTTTTTATAATGTACCTATGTACATATGAGAAGTTTAGTATTAATATAAATACAAAATAATTTATGATGTTGCAAATAAAAGGCATTATAGACATATGAAAAAGACAAATGTAAAAATGTTTATAAGTAAATTTTTTAGATTTAAGACGAGTCTGCGTACTACAATTTATTTGATGCAGGAGGTGCATGAATTGTCATATCATTTAATTATTTCATTAAAACTGTACTTGTGGAGTATCGGTTCTTTAGCTGTACAAATAAATTTATTACTTCGTAAAAATTAGGTTTGATATTACAAGTCCATTTGCTCTGCATATATTTATTTTTAACAAAATTGATACTGGTATAGAATTAGCAAACTTGAAAAATTATCATTCAATACGACTATCATTTTGTCACTGTGTCTTTATATATATTTGACTATTTTTTGCACAAATCTTGAGAATGCATGGTATAACTGTATAATGTGGACAGAAATATCTCCGATACTAATAAATTTTTTGCTTCTGCAAAAAAAATACAATTTCACTTAATGTTCAACATGATAGGTGCACTCTGTTTTGCGCTTATAGCATCATTTGCTCTTATTTAATATTTGACAACAATAAGAACTAATAGTATGTGAAAGTAGAATGCATTTTTTAATTCAAATATCCATTGTCCTCTGAAAATTTCCATGAAGTACAGAATTTCTCACACAGTTTAAAAAAAATTGATACTCTACAAATATAGGTTTAATAAAATAATTTAATGGTATGACATTTGGATTACAGGTACGCCATATCTCCTGTAGTATGTGTAGTACGTTTTATCAGACATACAGTTTTTATATACATATAAATATATACTAGTTGCATATTTTATAATCGATATACTTCATTATGTTATGAATAAGTTGTTGACATTTTAATCAAATTAACCCTCAGTACTCACAAAGGGTTAGCGTAATCCCCCCTCCCCCTCTCCCCGATTTTCATAGTTCAGACGTTTTTTTCCGATCCCTTTTCACTTATTGCAAAATATCTTTTGTGCTGTGACATTTTAGACTTTCTAACTAAAAAATTATTTTTTTTCAGTCTTCAAATGATAGATTAAAAAAAATTAGTTAAAATCGATGCACTACAATCTAAGATACAAGCAAAAGAAAACGCTGGGTTACAAATACCCGGATGTGGGTAGATAGGGACTTTTTTGAGATGTGGGTACTGTTAATTTAACTATTTATTAATTTTACGAATTGATATACTGATTCTTGATATGTAGCCATATGTTACGGAAGAATCGACAGAAGAAAACAATTCGCATTACACATTTATCTGGCATTTATGAATAATATATATATAAAATTTTTATTTTGGTTCTGTGTATACAGCTTCTCTTTTTTTTTTTACAAAAAACATAATACTCTTAACAAAAATCAATCGTACTATATTCTTAATATATGCAATTGTACAATACTCATAGTTAATAATAATGTATTGGAATACAACTGTATATCAATAATCGCATCTCAAATATATATACATTTTAGGTCAGGTATCAGTCTCTGTATATAAAATTTGAATACATTTTGATACACCTATTTCACATGATAATTCTTAATTGCACCGAAACGAAACTGAACGTTACTAAATATTTTAAACTTTGAACTTAAACTAAGTGAATATCATGCGTTCTTGGCCGTGTTTTTGTGTCTTGTCTTCTTTGTTTCTTGTTTAATCTTATTATAATGTCTCACATAGTTTTTCAAAAATAATTTTTTGCATAATAGCCTATATATACTTTGTATCTTTAGTACCAAAAAGATACTTGCGTAGATATATATTGATTTGACGCGAAACTAAATTTATCATATACGACTACAACACGCGCATTTATATTATCATTTTTATCGCAATTTCAGAGTAAACACGTAAATGTCACATTAATCTTGACTCGACTTTCACAATTCTACGTGAGATTTCTAAACTGGGTCTTAGGCTTTTCGTTTTTTAAACTTTCCCCCTCGACTTTAGATAGTTTTTCTGAAATTTATACATTCAATATTATGGAATACTACATATTAGACAGCGTTGTAAAAATCAGGTTGTTTATATTGCAATATTTATCCCTGTTTCGGATCTACAAGTTTAACAATCGGTTGTCAAATACATATGAATACAAATCGAATATTTTCTACAATTTATTTTTTCTGTACTCAAGTAAAAAACAATTTACAGAAAAATTTCTTTTCCAGATTGGTATTTACAATATTGGGCATTTCACATAGGGATTAGATTGCAATAAAAAGAACCTTTACATTATTTTTAAGCCATTTGACGGATACACTATGCGAACGTTTAAAAATAAATATAAATATCCATAGTGTGTGCATAATATTGCATGCAAAAAACGTGATCTTCATTTCTAAATTAAACTGCACATTATATAAAAACAAGCGTTTCACTATATATCATAGTTTTTAAACTATCAGCTAAATGAGTTAATGAGAATTTCAATCCTCCAATTAATCTGTGCGATATCTCTGTATCGTTCTTATATGCAGGCGACGCATAATCATGACTCGTCGTTAATTATGCGTGATATGATTCATAAATGTACATGATAAAATACTCTTTTGACATAGCTTCGATACTTGTATCAGAGATAAAAGGAGGTTTGATTCATTATTACTTCCTCTATTGAGAAACAGTGATGTGCAGCACATTTTCATACACGGCAATCGATAAAGAAAATGAAAATTAATATTCAATATAAACACTCTGACTTTGTGACTTGCTCACAAAATATATGCGTTATGTAAAATGCTCCTGCCGATCTCTAATATATCATCAATGACGCATTATTCTTATACTTCTCAGACAATTATACATCTGATATAAATATCTGACAAATTTTTAATTACTCAGGTACATATACAGATATATTTAAGAAAAATATAAAGCTAGAAATATATATATATATATATA